TCTACCACCAAATCTATAATATTGTACTTCATTATCTATAGGTTGTCTAGCATTTTTAAATTCAGTAGCATAACCACTCCAATTTGTATGAAATTCATCACCTTCATAATTATAAAAATCACGATAACGTCTTTTATAATTCTTAAATTGTTTACGATTAAACCGATTCCATCTCGGTTGTCTAACATCAAACCAACGTCTCATTAAAAATAAGTAGATTAAAGATTAGGATTTGACTCAGGCATACCATTATTAGGTAATACAACTCCACCATTAGTATAAGATTGATCAGCTGCATTATATACTGTATCAGGATTGATAGAAGGCTTACTAGCATTATCACCACCACCAACTACAACATAACCAGAAGCATCAGAACTAGAAGGAACAACCAATCCTGTATTATTTTTAGCATAACCAATAAAACCAGCATATGGTCTAAATATTTCAGCATTTGGAGTAAGAACCTTTCTTAATCCTCTTAATGTAACATCAAATTGCCAATGAATAGTTAAAGTACAAGCATTTGCAGCAGCAACATTTTGAGGAGCTTTAATAGAAATAAGTAATTGAGGATTCCATGCACTATACATATTATCTTGTGATAATACTTGTTTTGTATTTGTTGTTGGTAAATACATTGATTTTTCCATCATTGATGCAGCATCTAATTGTCTAATGACACCCCATCTACTTCCATAATACAATGTCTTTTCATTTGCAGATGAATAACTTGATACAACACCATAATCAGGTACTCCAAAATATTTATTACCAGAAATATCAATAACTTTAATTCTAACACCGTTTCTATCCCATGCAGTACAAATAGATGGGAATGTAGCACTATTTAACAATCCATTACCAATAAATGTCATTTCAAGTGATGCTCTAACAGCATTAACTTTATATTGATCATACATTCCCATATAATTTTCAAAATATTGTGTACTTGTTAATATAGCATTTACATTTCTAATTAAAGTACCTTCACTTCCATTAGCAGGTACATTAATAGTAACATCTTCTTGTGTAGAAATTACTACATTAGTAGAATCTCTTTGTTGCATTGCACTTGCAAAATTACCAAATGCTTGTCTTCGAAGAGCACTTCTTCTTCCTCTTCTTCTCATAGTACGTCTACCTCTCATTCTTCTTGCCATAACCAAATGAAAATAACAGTTCAATTAATTACCAGTTAATAAAGGAATCGTCTTACCAGATACTGAATCAATTTTAGTAATATAAGTAGTAGAAGCAGAATTAGCCGAAACATAACTAGCAGCATAATACTCATCAGAATTTGTCCTACCAATATTAAGAGCTCCAACATTATAAGCAAACTTAGCTGTACCAGTAAGTTTATCACTATTAAGATTAACTCCAACAATAACACTATAATTATTAACGTTATTAGAACCAACTTCATTAATAAAACTATTAGCATCAAAAGCGTGATTTTTATCAACTGCGGCCATCGAATATACACGAATTGCATTATTAACATTACCAAATGCAATAGCGTATAAATATTTATTAGAACTTATACTACTAGTACCGAGTATAGCAGTCCAAGTACTATCCCCAGAACGTATATATATCAAATGAACCATTTTGAGTGGTATAATGACCTTTACCAGTAAGCGGAATCTGTTCACTATAATTAGTAGTACCATCACTAATACTCCATCTTAAGAATGAATACGTTTCAACTATTTCATTCCTAGTTGTTCGTAATTGCTTAAAACGAACAGTAATATATCCCATTACCTTAAGAAGATAACTATCGTCGATATTCAAGGTGGCACCACTAACAATATCATTTAAATATGTTGTCCATTTAGCATTATCAATAAAAGGCAAAACGGTACCGCGATATGAAGTTATTTCAATTCTAGTAGTAGCTTTAAGAATAGCATATAATTCATTGGGTGCTTGTTCAGTAGGAGCCGCACCTTTTTGTAATGTACTAACATCAGTATATTTTACACTAGAACTAGAATTCCATTCCAATTGACTATCATCAAAATATTGTATTACACTTAACAATCTAGTATCAGTTTTATCACTTTCAGTATTATTTTTAACTCCCGGTATACTAGCTCTAGCACCATATAAAATAGTAGGTATAAAACGTCCATTTTGTATCTCTGGTTTAAATTCATACAATTTACCACTCATGATAGTAGGAATTGTCATCATCTTTTCACTACTACTCACACCTTGAATATCTAATGATAAATGCATTGGTGCACCGGGCATTTTAGATTGATAAATATAAGAAGAATAAGAAGCGAACTCTTCATAACTAGGTTCAGAATATACAGCATTATTATCAATATTATTTTGATAAAATCCACTCGGAATAGTTCTTTTAGCAGCCATTCCATAAATACATGGAAATGTTACTTCTTGAGTAGCAATATGACCATTTTCACCACTAGGTTTAACAATTTTCTTTCCGATAGCATAATTTGTATTTAAATAATTCAATAGATCATTGGCCTTATCAGCTTCAGTTAAATCTCCAGAAGTAATCATTGTAATTAACTGATCATAACTAACATTTGTAAAACTCGTACCGGAATCAGTACTAACTCTATAAGCATATTCTTTATTAAATACTACATTAAAATCAATTTTAGTAGATACTCCTTTAGCAACATCACCACAAATATGAACATCCATAATTTTAAATTGATCAAAACAATCACATAATTCTCTAAATATAATACTTTTATTCAATAATCCAAGTGAACCTATTGTATGTACATCAACACCTAAACCGTTAGCATTATTCATAACAACTCGACCAGTCCAAGAATCACTTATAGGAATTGTAGCAGTTAATTCTTGTTGTGTACTCCTTTTAACAACATCAATATTCTTTTTAGGTTTTAAAGCATCACGTCCACTCGTGGAATTAGCAGCAGATCTCATCTAAATGAATAATAAGTTAAGATGCAAGAACTCTATGACATTTCAGACATATCCAATTTATTAAAAGAAACAAATAACAAATCTTTTGATATAATAGCACAAAAAAATAAATATACATTATACAATTTTCCTTCTTCATCTAATTTACAACAAAAAACAGTTACTTATACATCAAATGGTATTAAAGATTTAGTACCAGATGACGGTTATGATGGAATATCACAAGCTAAAATTAACATTGTTGTACCACAACAAACATTACAAGAAAAAACAGTTACTTACACAACAAGAGGAACACAAACACTAATACCAGATACAAATTATGATGGAATATCTAAAGCAACGATTAATATAAATGTACCAGAACCAGTATTCAATGAAATAATAGCAAATATATTAGACAATGGAACATATGAATACACTCCAAATCCTTCAACTGACGGAATTTCAAAAGTAACAGTAAACGTAAATGTTTTACAATATTTTATTGACAAACTAAATTGTTATTATTTAAATGTTTCACACATACAAAATTTAAGAGAATTATCAACAATTATTGTTTATGGACCAACAGCAGAAGCCGATATCAGTTGGACAAATAGATGGGGAAGATTTATAGGATATTCAGACACTGCTTCAATAACATTATCTTCATCATGGCCATTTTTAATAATGTGGAAAGGATCAGACAATGAAGCATACATTCAATTGCAACGTTCAACATCAATTCCAATACGTAACGGAGTACTTACATGGGTTCATGTATTAGAAGAAGACACTTCAACAGTTATATTACGTTGTATGGACTCAACAAAAAATGACAGAGCTTTATTCGTTTCATATGTAGAAGAATTTTCAGAACCAAGAGATTTCATAGATTTATACTTCTTCTATCACACAATATTTAATTAACTTTTTAATCTATTATTTTCATTTCAATGGAAGAAATATACAACGTCACATCCTTAGCACAAGAAATTAAAGATGCTGGTCAAACTTACTTCGACATTATAGGTGAAAAAACAACATATAGATTGGAAAATTTTCCAGCGACAGATGCATCAATTAGAAAATTAAACGAAATAAAAATAACAGACTATTATGATGACACAAAAACAGAAACGTGTACCTTTTCTACAATAGCACCAAAAAGACAATTCCTAACTTCATCTCCAACCGCAGACGAATTAAAACAAAATGCATATATCTCAACAGAAGGAACAATGTACATACTACTACATAACAATTCAAATAGTACAATTACATTAGCAAAACCAACGGATGCACCAGACAATACGTTCAATCTCATCACGTTCAATCCAACAACCTCGAGAACATACATAAAAACAGGAAATTTCCCATCATCAACGGGTGTAAGCAGTCCATCAATAAATAAAAATCAAGATTGTTTATTAATAATACCACCAGTAAACCAAGAAAAATTCACTTTAACAAACAATTCAACAACAAATCAACCAAATCAAACCAATCAAATACTAAACATTTACTATCAATTAGGAGAACCGACAACAACTCGTCTTCTCCTAGATTTAGATACTTCAATAATCAAAAAAGATGAACTCTTTAGTAAAACTTCTTAATTTAATTTCTTTGTGAAAATTTAACGTTGTCAGTTGTCAGGAAAATAAGAGTGAAATAACAACCGAAGGGAAGTGCATGTAACGATTTCCTGATAACTGATAACATTAAATCAAGCAAAGGAATTTTATGTTATTTATATCACTTCTCTCAATATCCGTTTCATTATCATTCTTGTTCTATTTATAAATCCAAACATATTTATATATATATTATATATGACTATATATTTTTATTATTCTTTTAATATTTTTTACTATAATTTTACTATAGTTTCGGTCAGTAAGTCATCTGACCTTTTGGTCAGTTCATTTTTAGTTTTTCATTCTGACTTTTAAGATTTTTTTGTTATTCATAACATTATTCTATTTTTATTTGATTACGTGTTGATGAGTCAATTCTATTTCTATAAATACTTTTTGACGTATTGCCACGTCATGTTCTATTTCTATTTTTAGTTGCCACGTCATCACACTCATTTTTGTGATCATTGTCGTGTTCTATTTTTAGAATCACATAGTCATTTCATTGTGAAATGACTATGTGTTATTTAAATATCTTCTTCTTTTATATTATTTTTATATTTTTATTTCATTTCCAATGAAAAATATAAGTATTTTTATGTTTTTATTATTTAAAAATTATTTTCTAATAATTTATTAATATAAATGAAAATATAAA